GTCCCGTGAGTCTAGTCAGACTAGGCAGTCGCCTATGGCGCTGCTGGCCCGGGCGCCCCGTGATTACGTCATGGCCATTGACGGCTGTGCAGGTGGAGGCATCGATCGCGCCTTCCGCCTGGGTCGCCAGCTGCTACAGCCGGCCTCGGGCAGCTCCTGAGTGCGGGAGACCCTAGAAACACATCTATCTACATATCTGTCTTGAACCAGTTTAATACACCACTCTTCAGGCTAATTGTCATATAACATCTTCCAAAGTCAAGGTCTCTTGCAGAAATCTAAACCTCTCCGATGATTAACATTTCAACTACATTTTTGTGTGTTCATGTAGGCCACAGCATGACAGCAACATTTTGTTCTTGCAAATATTATTATGTGCAAATCTTTCTGGTTTGAAAAATTCACAACTGATAACACGCCTCTCATAAAATCCTAGTATAAAGAAAGCTCTTGTTAGACAATCTTCTTTTTTATCCAACTATGGACCTTGATTAGTATTGACAGCAGCATAATGGGTTTTTTTAATAGCATTGTATTTTGTTTGAACATAAATGTTCACACTGCTTCTGTGAAATTGTCCCAGACATAAAGATTACCTAACAAAGCCCATATTAAAATAACACATTAAAGTTTGTTTGCGGTGAACCATGAATTCTTCTTGTCATTTGTCATTTATTATCTATCAAACACTAACTGCTAGCTAGATTAACTCATTTAGTGTTATGTATGTATCTGCCTGACATTACAGAGACACTTAATATTTCAAACCAATCTCTCTCTGCAGCCTGCTTTTGTGCTTCTTAATCTCATATTTGCCCAAAGTAGTGAAAACCCCTTAGGTACAATAATATGAGATGGAAGATCTTTACCAATAGTCACGTATAGTACGTATGGGACAGCGCTCAAGTGGCATAGAGTCTAAATGATTATGTTGGAGTTAAGAGTTCAGTGGAAGAATAATAACTTTAAGACTCGCTGAAGCTGCCTCCTGTACTCTGGTCTTTTTAGCACAGTTGAGTGAATCATA